TGGATTGCATCATACGTTTGCCTACTTTCCTTGCACAAAATAATCCTGGGTTTTGCACAGTACAAATCTCAAAACTTTGCGAACCCAAATTCAGACAATGAATATGAACTGAGCGAATTGAGGAATTGGATTGGATAATTTTTGAATTTTAATGTTAATCAATCGAATTTCTGAATTCTTCCAATTGCAATGATGGAGTTCAAACATCTTGGTACAATTTCGCCTTTGCACTCTGCATTAAAAACCATTCGAAAAATCTAAGGAGACATTTGCAATTCTTGATTCTTTAGTTAATCTGCAAGTCACTGCAATTAATTGTAATGACAATGATAATTTAACACATAAATGTTCATTGAAACGGCAATAGCCGAATAAGTAAAAAGCTTCCAGTAATTGTGGCGCAATTGATAGATTCGATAGAAGTGTGGTTTGCGGGGCAGGTCAGGGGCTTCTGGTGGTATGGGACCGTGAGGTACAAAACAGAACCACGAAAAGGTGAAAAACACATTTTTGTGTTTATTGCCATCGGATCGATCGCAGCAGACGTTACTTGACGGCGTCGCGTAGACAATAGACTACAATGGATTTGTTTTTTTTTCTTAATTAGCATAAACGAGAGGGAAAAACTAGATTGCAGCGCAGGCGCGCTCAGACGACACTTATCGATTCAGAAGAAGTAAACGTCGAGTTTGACAGTGACCCATAATTATAGGTGGAATAGAACCCCACTGCGCTTCTGCGTAGTCCTAGTGTTGGTGGCCTGGTCTATTTTATGCAGTCTTACTCTCATTAGCGATTGCGCGGTGCTTTAGAAGTAGCGATCATATTTTCAAATGAGCGGCAATCTTTTAGGAAACTTTCCTAGCGGTTTGAAAGGAAAAGTACATATACCTAATAACATGGATCGGGACAAGTCTGCTCGCTCCTAATCCAATTTAAATGCATTAATTTATAGGGGCTTCTAATTTCCAATAAATAGAACGGTGGTGGGCGGTAGTCGTAGGTTTAATCAATTTTCCTTGCGTGTATTTTCCGATTTTCTGCTTGATGAATGTTGTAATTAGTTTGTTAATCTGGAATACGTGACGCCGGGAATTTCGTATCGAAACTGCGTGCATACTTAATCGCTGTTGCTAAAATTCTTCGTCTTTCATCCCTCACACGGGTATTGTTTTTGAAGTTAACAACAAACTGCTCACCACAAATTTGCAAATTTTTACAAATACTTTTCTAGTTTCATTGGAGTGTCGCAATAATGCAATTACTAACAAATTTTGCTCCTGAGAATGGTGGAGAATCTTGTGCGTAAAAATCAAACACAGTACAAGGAGCTGGTGGAGAACAAGAGTACATATCCCTCACGATTGGCTAGACCGAACGAGAGACTGTGATAGGGAATCGATACTATTCTTTGTATTTTTAGCAAGTGATAATATAATCAAATCACAATTAGTTCTTTTTCGATCATGTCAATTGTCAACTGATAAGTAGTTTCGCTCGTCTGCCATAAATATTAAATACCCCACTAAGGAAAAGACGCGTTTAAACACTAATGGGGTTTGAGAAAATCTCCCATATTTTGTATAGTTCTGTGAAGTTTTTGGCCAATAGCTGAACCCATAGTAAATCAATCGGCAATCCTGAAAAATAAGAATAAGAATTCGCATTTGTTTGCCATAAACTCTATCATTGAAACAATAGTCACAGAAACAAAAGAAGGTGTATGGTTTCGTTGGTTAGCGACGCCCAATAAACCTTCGAATCTATTGGCTATTTCTTTTAATGATGTAATGATAGTATATACTATATAGTAATGATTGTATAAACCCACCATTATTTACATAAAAGCCAGGAAAATCACACATTACTGGCGAGAAAACATTGAATTTAATTTAATTTCCGAGTCAAGTAGTGTCATTCTACCGACAAGTTTTGTATTAAATTTTATCCGAAATCGCATTTTAATATAAAAATTTGATTAGTCAATCTGTCATAGTGATGACAGGAGTTATTATAGATATTTAGCAATGTGTCAGGTGCGGCGGGAACTTTTTTTACATAAAGTAGGCATGAAAATTAAGGTTTCATGACAGTTTTTTTCCGGCTTCTTTGAGAATATAATTTTTGAAAAAAAAACGTACAGAATTCGAAGCGTATGAGAAAAAATAATAAAAAAATGACCCCCTATTTTGGTTCTCTAAAGAATGTCTACCTATCACCATTGAATTTATAACTATCAAATTCAATGTTATCACCAAATTTATGGTGTAAAATTTATAATTAGGTACTTCTTTATAAATGATTTACCAAATCATTCAACCACTCAATTCTCATGGTGCCAGAAGGGGCGCTATTGATTATTATCCCACGTCAGTTAAAAACTAACCAATTATCGGTTAAAGGCGGAGAATTTGATGAAACGAAAGATTCTAGAGTATTTTGGGAACCTGGTGGATGTAAAAAATGAATTAATTCAAGAATCTAAAGAGAAATATGAAGAATATGAGGATCACCTGCAGCATCTAAAAATTTGGAAGATTAATCACACTGCATGGACGTGATAACAGAGGGGGGGGGGGCGTAACAAGGCGTGGGCCTCGGGGATGCCTCAAAGACCTATTAACATACATAAGTACCAGTACGTATGTTAAAAACATCTCCACATCACGTAGTGAATAGACAATTTTATTACGGTATGGGAAAAAAATAGATATAGGGAAGGATGTTTTTAAGAATTTAGTATTCTCTAAGTGATTATAAAAATGTGCTGCATTTGTAAGTACCATTGAAACGCTGTATCTCGGAAACTATTAGCCTTACAAAGCCCGTTAAGGGCTTGAATTGTAACAAATTTTGTCTAGTTTAAAAAGTATACGATAATCAATACTATACTCAATACTATACCAAATGACAAAAAAATACTATTTCTAAATGCGTTGGTATAATAGCAGTAAGAGTACCACGTTGATTTTCGGAAAAGGTCCGTAACATTATTAATTTTTTGGGCGAAGTTCTTAAATCTTTGAATAAAGAAAGGGAAGAAGACAAAATGTTCACCCTGTATAAAAATGAGTTTATTCTTTAAAAAAACTGAAATTGGTAAACAGGAAAAACACTATAAGAAGAAGGACTATGCTTTTATCTAGATTAAGGGGCGGTTTGCGTAGTCTGTAGACAAAATCAAGTACTTAATGAAACAAAAAGGTATGAAGTACCTACCACAAAAGTTACAGACCTTGCAAAAGACGTTATTAAACCTTAATTTCTTTAAAATGGGGAAGGGTTATACTTATGTGCAGGTTATAAATACTTATGTGCATTTAAAATGTGGTTTGTGCACTCTATCGAGGAAAAGAAGTCACACAAGAAAACTTATATGACGTACCTATACCACGATGGGCGAATTGTTATTTAAAGGTGAGTTCTTATAAAAAAAACTTTGAAACGGAGAGGGGCTATTATGTGCACTTATAAAATTTGGCTTGTGGATTTTGTAAACAAAATTAAACAGCCAAACAAAATGTTTAAAGATTTTCGATTACAGCATTCATAATAGACGAAGCATGTCATTATTTACTGACCTTTTTTTACCTTCGTTAAAGATACTCTTTCTTATGGCCCAAGTAGGAAAATTCCTCGGAGAATTCCTACCACCCTTGTTACTTTCCTGTTACAGGCCTGAATTACACCCAATTTAAATTCCACCAAAAAAGTTTCATAGATCATTTATGAGGAAGAGCTGTTTTAAAAGTCAATTTCTCTCCTTCCTTTGCAGCCCGTAAGTGTAAACGTAAATCTGCATCCCCTGAATAACACCAGCGTCCATTACTCATATAAAAAACAATAATCATAATAAGTTTGTGTAGTTATTTATTTTAAGTTGAATTTCACTAATAAAGTATAATTCCACAGCTTATTTATAGTTATTTACGTGTTGTAAATATTAATCTTTACGGGCAAACTGGAAGCTGGATCCAGTGAGCCTAGTATAAAGATTAATTGCAAAGCGAGACACGTACTAACTTTTATTTTCACCTTCATAATACGGTTTTCAAATTGAAAATTTTCAATTAATTTACTTTAAGTTGATTAAAGGCGGTATTTCTGGCTAAACGTAGTTATGGCGATGTTAATAAACAACCAAAAAATTTGTTATGTTAAATCTGATCGGTTTTTTATCCTGTCGCAAGTGCTTGTACAGCCAGTTGGTGTAAAAACTATAGGAAAATTTCCAACCGTTATAGCAAAGAACTGTTGAAGTTTCATTCTTCTCTAAAATCATAAATATGTTTACATAGGCATTTGGACTGCTCTACGGCTCTTATATAGGCTATTAATTGTGCTTTATGGATTATCTACCACTGCAAACAGCGCTTTTTGATGAAAAAATACTCGCTTTCGGGTTATATTACTACGATTAATAGATTTGTAAAAATTCTCAATTGAACAGGACATTTTGTACAAGAGGATGGGCATTGAGCCTGTCTATCGCTGCACATATTCAAGGCGTTAAGTCATCCACGACGTAGTTTTTACTAGATTTTGTATGGTAATAAACCGATTGTTCCAAACGAAAAACGTTACCTTATTAAACAATGGCCTTCGCCATGGATTTAACCCCCCATTCCACAATTTCTTGGTCAAAACACACTTGTTGCGTTGTTAGCAAAAAAATTTGGTAACGAGGATGTTTCAAGGCATTAATTGCTAGATGCTTTTAGTGTTCGGTTGGTGCTTATTCACCTTGTGTCTTTGTGTGAGAAGTGATGTGTTTAAACAAATAAGATAAAAATAAACAGGATAACTCAATTAAAAGATTTAATGACCCTTCAGACATACGTATTTTGTCATGTTGGGCATTCGCAAAGCCGTTTATTACGCATCAGAATTACAACTTCCAGACGCATTAATGGAAGTATGAACAAATCCCAAGTTTTCCACAATTCAATAATTCCAAGGCCGAGTCCTTTAAACTATTTGCTCGAACAGAAGCGTAGTTTGAAAATCGGACGTGCCGCTTTCTACAGACAACGTAACGCGTTATTGCATTCTGAACCATGATATCTACGCCTTGCTGAGATATTTTAACAGTGCGTTGGCGTGTGTTGTTGTTCCGGCCGGCTTGTATTTTAATCCATTTACAACCCTACAAATTGTTTTTTTAAACCAGTAAATTTAAGTGCGATTATTTCTCGAATTATGGCATCGGCGCAAGGTATGTAACGTTTTCTTTAAAAAATCGACCTTATTACATACAGTAATTTGTTGAATCCGGAAGCGCATTCGAAAATTTGACGAGTCGAAATCTTACTTTCTAAAAAAATTGAATGCATTAACCGGCGTATTTATAAATAAAGACAGGCCTATTTTTAGGTCAATTGGTTACAAAAAGATATTATTGATTAAATTAAATGGCTTAGATTTCTTGGCGGCAGCCTAAAAGTTGAATGACCACCGCATGATGTAACTTAATATGCTCAAGGATTTGTCCTTTTCGTAATATAGGTAGATATCGGAAATTTCCCTTTCGGCGAGTGCGAAAAATGTTCCATTAACCCATCTTGTTGGATCAATAACTGAAATGCATTTGATTGTACACCCTTTTTTCGTAGCACAAGTCCTGACGGGGATTTAGAAATCGCTCAAAACTAGGGAATTTTAGCAGGTTTAATTCGGATTCGAGAGTAATGGATATGTTTCTGTTATTTTCAATTTCAAGTTTTTACTACGAATCTACAAGTGCAGAGCTGCTACGATGTCGGAAAGTGCTGACCTGCATCACTCGAAAACAGGTGCCATGTTTACAAGGGAAAAGTGGGCGATTATTTTGTAAAAAACCATGCTTTATGTATGTTTAATTAGAAGTTTGCAACATTTGCCCTGTTATACCGTTCGGTATCCCTACATACCTACTTCCCGTTCCCATTTTGTGCCATTGCAATTATAGAATCAATTTTGTATTGCTTCAGGACTTCAGTACTATTTGGGTGTTATATTAATTGTATGGCACATATCAAGCTCAAGAAGCTTTTGAGATGTGGCACGTTATTTTCGACTTCTCAGTGACGTAAATAACGTGAACATTGAGCGATTTCTTACTGTCGGAAGCACGCATTGCTTTTCCAAAAGTATTGCCAATCACAGGAAATCATTGGAAGCCATCAGTGGCGCTTGGCGAAATATCATTAACATTCAATTAGTATTTAGTGGAAAACAACTAAACCCGCCTGCAGCTAGATTTGCATATTTAGTAGTTATGAAGTTAGCAATAGGTTTCAGCAATGAATAGGTAATATGTAGAAATGTGCAAACCATGTAATAAACTATTGGGAAGCAATTTTCACATGCCTTAACCCTCCAGGCTCCAAGGCGATCATAAAATGTAACTCACTCCAAAACTTAACAACTCATCGCTTTTACAGTACTTATCAAGAGTTCCGGTGTTTCTATTCTTCTACAGTTGTAGATAGATTTTTGAAAAAGTTCTGCAAAATTATGTACTCAAAAGTTTGAAGCGTATAAGACATCATTTCATATAGCCATACAATTTGGAAACAGGCATCTTATTTTCGGCCCTAAGAGAGGGCCAGTGGTATGGTCGGGTTGAACCTGCGCTTAAAATCATCGGGAGGTTGATCGGCAGCCATTGATCTAATTTTCATCATGACTTACCTACATTTTCTCCAATGGCAAAGGTTTCACCGCTGGCTAATTTCAGGCGCAGGTTCAACCTGACGTTTAAACTGGCAATAAATTATGTAACTAAGAGTTCACACTATCGAAAGTACATATATCATTTTGCCAGAACTCTATTCGCGGTCACAGGAAAATCATTTAAGCCACATGAATTTATAAGAAATCATGGAGATGCAGGTAGCACTCTCAGTATTTAGAAATTCAAATGCAAAACTCCCTTATGTATTGTTGGTGTTTTCGTTCCCTCTACCTTTGCTTACGGTAAGTACAACACATTTTTAACAAATTTCTATCCGTCGGCCTACGCTGTGACTCATGTTTTCCATCATGTATCGAACTAGAAATTCCACCAGGTGACAAGGATACTTTGAGCGCATTTTGCTAAAGGAAAGTTGCACTATTATTCTGTACCTTCCTAAATGTAAGACTGTTGCACAAATCGTGTGTCGCTCTAAGGATCGGCCAGGCCACCATAAATAAAACGCAAGAAATGGGGAGAGTTAAATTTGATTAAAAACGTTAAAAATTTTAGTCAGGATTGCCCTCTCTTAATCACACGAGAATACCTCTAGGTACTGCATTGATTACAAGGAAGGAAAAAAAGAGCTATTGAAGACCAACCAGGATATGTACTCACGGAGGTACTCACTTACTTGCTCACTTCGTTTCCAGTTTACATTTTACAAAATCATTATAATGGGGGACTCGGGGGGAAAGTTATCTTCCTCATAAACGTGACTTTACACGGATATTTAAAATATTGTACCACCATCTTTCAGGGAAAATAAACTATACTTATACTAAGACCTTTATATGTAACGGAGCCCGACATTTACACCAAGGGCTCAAGGTACGAAGACCACACAATATATATTTTTGTTTATATATAGTTAAGGGCTCACCATAACAACAATGCAGGGGTATATTCAGGGTTTGTATTCGCGATTTGGGTTCAGGTGCTCATTTTTGACTAGAACATACCCTGTCTAATTATAATAAAGAGTGAGGGGTTTCGAGATGCATTCCGTAACAGTTTTCGTATAACATAAATTGAAATACTTATTCAGGAGCCATGAAAAAGTAACACATTATTTATGCAACATAAGATGGTGAACAAATATCACTGCAAATCAATTCACTAAATATGCAACGCCCCCACATAAAACGAATCCTATCCATCCCCCCTCAACATGTGAAAAGTTACATAGCAATCTTAACTACTTACGTACCTACACAAAATCTACAAGATACCCTAAACTATGTAAACACCCTATGTATTAATCTCAAATGAAAGTCACCTACACATGGGGAAATTTCTATTTTGACTCACTACGCAACGAAAACTACAATATGCCCCAACGTTTATTAACACCCTGTACTAATCTGTAATCTTCCCCGAACAAATAATAAAATCCACCAGTGAAGGTATGCTAATATTAGCAATGGAATTTTTTTAAAACGAAACGTCTACGTACATGAGAAAATTTTACGTATGTGCCATCTATAACAAATAAACAAAGCTACCTGTCCCTATAGGGCCCTTACCTGGTGCTGCGCTCATTGGACAAGTACACGTCTAGTGCGTCAAAGACACTCAATTTGCAACTTGTTACATAAATAGCTATATGTCGAATTTTAGGTGGATCGCAACCCCTGTGAGCAACAGTCTATGACAAGGGTTTCCATTCCTGAACTAAAATTGACAGTGGTAAACAAAGATGAATTCATGTTATCGTATCAAGTTGCTCAGCTTTCTTCAAGTTCTAATGGAGTTATTGGTGCGGAATTCAGAATAGAAGTTAGCGATTGTTTTCATAAATGGACTAGTAGTTTACTTGAGAAGTTATCAGCCGCAGTGAAAGCTATTTTAAAGTTCTTGGATTGTGAAATTGCCTTTCTAACTTTCGATAGGCAAATATGCAGTAACGGAATGTTTTGCAAATTTTAATAGAACATTCATGTTATCTTTACTGTTTTGGGTGTGAATCAGTAATTCATTAAATAGTCATACATGTGTACCTGTGTATGTAGTGCATTGATTGAACATTTGCCAGAATGAAAAGCGTTAATTTTCAAACTCCGTTTCCTAATTTAGGTAGGTGTTCCAATCCAATGTGCTCCATCCCTCTGTGGCCACTTACTATGTACTTATTTGACACAGACATGGTTTGGTGGAACTGCTTGTTATATTTCAGACCTCGTTTCAGACAGATTTTTAGCGCATTTCCACAAAAATAAAAAAAAATGCGCTATTGTGGCCACTTTGTCCGTCCGTCCGTCCGCTCGTTTTGCGACGCTACTAGTTCTTTATCTTATTGTTCTACTTTTTTCGCTATTTGGTTCGTTATGGTGTCGAGTCTTGTACCAAGGAAGGAATTTTTTCTGTACCGCTTACAAAAAAAGTTATTGTAAAAAAAACAAAAAACCGTTTTTTTACATGTTCCATAATTTTACACTTTTGCCGTTTATTAACGATCCTAGAGATCGTTTATAATTTTGCATTGCTATCTGTCGCCTGCCGGTTGGTCTCTCCGTCTGTTCCTTTGTCTATCTGTCCATCTATCTGTCCGTGTGAACGATAACTTTGTTTAGAAATGTTCGATCGCTTTTACATCTCCGTTAGTTATGAACTGAATTGCATGAAATTCAATATGGGCATAGCTTTAGCCGTATAATACGCAATGCCAAAAGTTGAATCGAATCGATTCAAAATTCACAGTGCCCTTTTCGCATCTCGACCATTTATAAACCGAATTGCAAACTTTTTTACTTATAGAAGTATTTGAATGAAATTTGATACATAGGCACTTGGAATAAAGGAAAATCAAACGCCAATTTCAAAATTTGGTTTTGCGCATGCGCAGTGCCAACTTTTTTATTTATGGAAGAATTTAAACGAAATTTGATACATAGGCACTTGGAATAAAGGAAAATCAAACGCCAATTTCAAAATTTGGTTTTGCGCATGCGCAGTGCCAACTTTTTTATCTATGGAACCATTTAAGTGAAATTTGATACTTAGGCGCTTGGAACAAAGGAAAATCTAACATTAGTTTCAAAATTTAGGTTTGCGCATGCGCAGTTCCAACTTTCTTATTTAGAAAAGCATTGAAATGAAATTCTTCTCATAAACTGAAATTGAAGTAGCACGTCAAAAATGGATTGCCCATGTGCAACGCTATTTTTCATATTTGTGGCCGGATTTTTACGATTTTAACAGAAGTTGCATCTTACAAATGGGAAATGAATGCAAGTGGAAATGCGCTTTATGTAAATCGTTTACGATTACTTTTTAACTTGTTTAATCTTTGGGGAATTTGGCTATATACAGAAATACAGATTGAATTAGGGCAATGCACTATAAGGTCTCTATACTCAAAGCTTCGTGTAAAGCTTTCTTATGGTGGAGACGACATGCACGTTCCACAATTATAAATGTAGATACCATATCATTACGACCTGTTGTTAATTTTCTTATTTTGTAACAATAAGCCAAGATATCAATAATTACTGACATAG